CTGATCCTGCGCTTGTGAAACGCCTCGGAGATGAGCCACCTTCACCTCCAGTCACAACGCAATCTCACGTCTAACGACGCCATCCTGATCCTGCGCTTGTGAAACGCCTCGGAGATGAGCCACCTTCACCTCCAGTCACAACGCAATCTCACGTCTAACGACGCCATCCTTATCCTGCGCTTGTGAAACGCCTCGGAGATGAGCCACCTTCACCTCCAGTCACAACGCAATCTCACATCTAACGACGCCATCCTGGCGGTGTACCAGTAATAATTTAATAAATCACCAAACAGTGATTGACGGCTTTAGTGAAAGGTAGTCGCTCGGGGCCGTACTTCATTTACTCGAATGGACGATGGTGCGAGAAGATCATTTCCATGCGGACCGTTGCTAGATTCACTTGAGCATTTTTTTATTTTTTATTTTCCTTTTTTTCTCATTGACAATTTGTCATTTGTTGTAAGAAAATAAACATCTTTTTTGAAATAAAATGTCATTAAAAGTTAAGAGTTGTTCAATTTTCCTTGGGCGTGGTAGGTGTTTATTCAAATACTGCAGCCATAATCCCTCTAATTATCGGTCCGTACGTAACGTAGCTGATTTGCAGAGCGTAAGAGCAATTGGCTTCCAACGGTATTACAAAAGTCGAAAATCATCACAAAATATAATGCGCGAATTGTTTTTCTGCTCAAAGTAAGTAGATATATAACTGGAGATACGGACGCGTTAGTAAATAAATCGGCAAGGCACGATCAAACATCTCAATTTTTGCAAGTTTATCATTTATATTTGTACTTGAAAAAATACGTGGAAAAAAAAAGAAGCTTTTTCCGCCCTCGGGTGGTTTTGGGAGGCTGGCACTTCCTCGGGCAAAAAAGCAGTTTTCCGATACTCGTTCGAAAAGTCTCCTTAACAAACCTCGTTACGGACCTCGCCTTCGGCTCGGGCCGCAAACCTCTCGGTTCGCAAACAAAGACTTTTCAAACTCGTAGGAAAACTACTATTTTTGATCGTTTAATACGCGAAAAATCTGAATTTTTCACAAGTACTGTTCAAACCGTTCATTTACATGCAGCAACACCCTTCCTGTCAATAACAGACTATCCAGCTCTCGCTCTTCCTAAACGTGCAGTACAGCGGTGGTGGCAGTATACCCGAAGCTAAGATGCGCAAACTCGGCTGGATGCTTCTGTACCACCGGTGCAGCCGCAGCGTTGAAAATATCAGAGCGCGTTCGGCCGCGTAAAGCTACGCACGTCAGCTATCGTTAGCAGCCAGTGCTATCACGCACATCATTGTAATTTTACATTATTTTAGCGGTGGTGGGACCATTTTTTTTTGTAAGTAAAAATAAATATTAAAAAAAAAAAAAAAAAAAGTAAAGGAAACATCAGAGATTAGTAGCAAGGAGTGGGGGACGTTTCCACCCGGTTAATCGTGTGTGTACATTATACTGGTAAATAAACGTGTCGTGCGAGGAGTGGTAGTTTAGAAGGAGGATAACAACGAGAGTACTTTATACGTGGGGAGGGACATGTCGTCGTTCTTTAGGAGCCTCTGGAGAAGCAACTCCAAGCACAAGAGTAAGTTTTTTTTAGGGGTACTTTATTGTTACGATTATTGCACGTGAGTCTCGCCTGATTTATCGTCTGTTTCCGTACGGCTAAATTGTACGTTTCTACCAACCCCTTTTGTTATTCGTTTTTACAATACGATCAATCAAAGTTTCACCAATCGATCCTGTAACTAAAAAATTATGGTACGAGATTTTCTCTGCTTTTGATTTAGAGGCTGCGTTATCACGGATATATTTAGATTAACTGTTGACCCGCCTATAAAGAGATCATGTATTATCAAAGCGTGTCGTAACTGTGATCGAGTCTTTTTAATACATTAGTTTTTACGTATGTGTTTATTCAGATCGATACATGCATCGCGTGCCTTTCAAAGTTAATGTGGGAGTAAAGTTCTTGGCCAAATCGCGAAGGCCGATTGATTGAGTTGTCGATCAAATTTTTTTTTTTTTTTTTTTTTTTTTTTCGATCTTCTTTGAGAATTTATCATAATACTAGCCAAGGTCGTCTGTGTTCCGCTGTACGAGTGTGATTTCTTATTTATTATGTGTATATAAGTGATACATAAGTGCTGGCGCGTAATAAATCCACCGCATCGACTAAAAATCGACGATGGCGTAAAGTAAACGAAATTAAGCGAGTCAACAGTAAATTTATCCAAAAGTATTAAAAAACATGACCAAACTTTCGACGATAAATCCAGTTCTCCAAAAATAATTTGTAACTAATGATTTTATTTTACATTTCCATTTGAGATCATTAAATTTGTGGTTGACAATAAAAAAACAAAAATAAAAATTGTATCATATTTAGCTGTTCTACACGCGTATACGTGTACGGACATCATGTAACATTTTTAGCGCCGGAAATTCCTTTTATTGTGAAACTGTACAGGATAACGAGAAAGGAAAATCCTGCTTGTATGTGTATACAGGTGTACCTTTCATTTCCTCGACTCACACAAACTCGTAGTAACCGCATGGGAGTAGAGAACAGTATACCCACGGCGAGTATAAAAGAGCGAACCAACACAAAAAAGGGATCACCGGACCGACAAAAGCGCGGAAAAGAAAAATCTTGCGCGAAAATGGAAATTAGATTGCACACATGTATATATGTGTACACACCTACTTTCACATAGACAAAGTTGCACTACTCGCGCGAATCGAGTACATAAGGGAACAAATTAAATTAAAAAAAAAATCAGTTTAAGAGAACCATGAAATTAACCATTGGCGACTAGAAAAAGGTATTTTGGCCTTTCTGTCAATAATGTATATATATGTTCTCATGTGACCCGTTAAATTAATGACGTCCAAACACTTCTACACATCTATAATAATGGTATACATAAAACAGATCCATATTTATTTTCATCGTTTTCGGGGTTCAACAACTTTCAGATTTTTAAAAATTAACTACGTCCCTATTAGTTTGATCACATGTCGTGTGCGTGTACATAAATTTGAATCATACAATGGGCCACACTCGTACTTAATAGCGTAGAGGCAGTAACGATAACGAGTATTAATAATGCCTGGAACAGTTAAATCAACATCGTCAGACGTTATATGCAAGAAAGATTTTAAAAAGTACAAGCAATAATGGTTCGCGTGGTAAACTGAATGATGTGTTGGTAAGAAAAAACAGACAATGAAAATTTTGCACGATGTACGCTGCATGTAACTGCGTACGACGGGCGAGTCCAGAGGTAGCATGATAAAGGAGGAAAAGGAAGAGGTTAATGGGGCTTATGGAGTTCAAGGTGGACGCAGAATATTCGAGAAACGTAAAGGCACTTGTTTTTTGGATTGTTTTTATATCGTCAAACACATTATGATTGACTAACAAAGTGGTAGTGGCGTTGAAAAATAATACACTTGGGAATTATGTTATGCCAAAAATGATTTTTTATTTTTTTTCATTGTTAATTACAAGCTCGCTCAAGTGCGCTGTGTGTGAGCATATATTCATAAGATAGGCGCGTAAGTAAAGCCACGGCAAATTATCGCAGTTGCGTAACCGTAAAGAAATACCGCTTTGCTTGTACAAACATGTATATATTGGATATTCTAACCGACAAGGGTACGTGCACTTCCATGCCTATACATGTACATCATATACGGGTAATTAGAGTAATGCTTGATGGAAAAACGATCAGCTCCATGGCGTGACTTGAGCGATCCCACCCCCCGGGTAACGGCTTCTGCGGTCGACATAGATAGTCCTGTGTACACTCTATAGTTGGTCTGTACGGAGATACGAAGGAAGAGAAGGTATGAAGGGGACAGAGGAAGCGAGAGAATCAAAAGAGGACGTGGCAGTAGAGCAAAGACATAATGTGCATTGCGTATATTATTATATCATGTACGCATGAGGGTGAGGGTGTCACGGCTCTTTTGTACTCCACAGAGACAAAGGGAAGCTAAAAAGGTAAATTTCGCTACTACTGCTTACTACTACAACCACCACCAAGTTTCAAGCCACTCTAAAATGCCTCTGTTGCTTTGTCTGCTTCGTTATTGCAAATACGTGCACACGTACGCCTGATGCACTCGATGCTCTGCGGATCGTGCTAACAGCAGTATCTTGTGTACTCGCAATGTTTTGTGAAAAATAATATCGATGTAAATGCACCCCGCTTTTTCTACTCTATATCATTCAGTGCGCGAAATTGTTCAAATGAGGAGAGAAAAACCATCACGCGTCCACGGGGGCGATGGAGGAAGGCTATGATACATTTTATAGATTAATTGCGCTCCTGCAAATGTAGTATGTATGTATACACACACGTAGTTGCTTATCGGCCGAGTGTGCGCGCACAAAAGGGGGTTGGTACCTAATGAGCTCACTTTATCCGCGTCAGAGCTGCTGTTACAAGCTCTCGGGATTATATTTTATTTTTTTCCAAGGCGTACTTACATTAACATAATTAGAGTTATTTATGGACGGAATTGACTTTTTTAAAGTGGCACTTTACAAAAGGATACAAATATTATTCCTGCCGTTGCCGCGAAGTCAAGTAGTCAGACAAAAATATCTTATCATCCACCGAGTCTATGAGCGTCTGACCACATATGGCTTTTTCTACTTCGTTTTCGTGCAGCGTATGCAAGCGGTCCTTGAGTCATTAGTTTTTTGATTTAGCTGCACTAGTAAGTACATTCAATTGTTCACGAAGCAATTGCCTCATCGATTATGAATTAAAAGATGCGTTGGATTATCACGCATTAAGAGCAAAAGAAGAGATCATGAAATTTTGTGAGTGCACATTCAATAATTAAAGTTTGATCCCAAAATAATTATTTTTCTCAAACGAGTAAACGTTTGTTTTGCGATAAAAGTACAGAGAATATACAACAAAAAAAGGAAAAAAGGCGAAAGTTTTCAACAGCATCGAGTTGGAATTTAAGTAAAAGCTTTTTTTTTTGTGGAGAAGCGAAAGCAACTGGAGATGTTTCGTGCGCACAGAAGTGTAAAGGTATTGGTGTAAACGTAGCCCGTTTCTCGGGGACATTTCGCTGATGGGAGGACATCTTTGGCTTTTGCTGTGGAAGATCCTAATGGCATCGTTTCAGATAAAAGCCGCGACGTTATTAGGGTCTTCACTGTAATGTATTCCGTATTGTAAAGAAAAAAAAAAACATATACTTATTACCTCGGCACGATTTGGCATGGCAGAATTTGTGAACGTTATGCTGTTACTGTCGCTACTTTGTGCAGAAAAAAAACATTGCCGATCAAAATAATCCATGCTAAAAAAAAACATCCCGATCCAATTACTTTTCACGAAACTTCCACTCACACGCGAGCAAAGAATATTTTTTTTTTCAAAACCCTTCGTATTTCGTCAAGATATACGTATATATAAAAAAATAACGTTATTTTATGCGGATTTTTATTCTCACGATGTGCAAGTTCGACGATGTCACTGCAAATAAAACGTGAGAGCTAAAGAAAGAAAAAAAACGTGACTCTCCCTGATCGTATTTCTTTCTCAAAAAATCTTGCAAATATTTGAATTTCTCGTTCAAATTTCACGTCAATTTTCCCAAGAGCGATAAGGTTACGTAAAATGTGAATGTGTATTCAACTTTCCCGATAGGAGCGACTCGCGTGCATCCGACGCTTGATTTTTCCGAGGCTCCCGCGTTTTATCGACAGAACCGCGTGTGCAAAGCACAATACCGATGCAACATCTTCGCAGTACATGCTGTTTTCGCGTGTGCTTCTGCACATGCAGTTGTAGTTGTCCATATGGAATGACGAACAATCGCCAATGGAATAATGACTTGGCTACCGGCTGTTTTTTTTTATTTTTGGTCGAGTTAAATTCTACACATGCCAACAAACCCATACGAAATTGAGGGAGACTGAAAATCTATTCCCTTCTACCAACTTTGGCTTCAAGTTTTGTAGCTTTTGGGATACTTTTATTACTTTTTCCTTTCTCACGTTCCATTGACGCTTTGCCCTTTGTTTCACTGTATTTTTCTTTTTTGGAGGTACGGCATAAGAGCTACCTTTTGGCCTTTGCCTTGTGTCCATAAAAGAAAACTGAAAGAAGAAGGTGTGGACGAGAAATGAAACTTGGGCTGCTTATTTCTCAAGTTTTATCATAACCATCGGCTGGAATGGGATCGGAGGAGCTGTATAGGTGATGATAAAGAGAACAAATTTATACATGCCTATATACACATGGAAAAATTAAACTGTGCGTAAACTATTTTTTCCGCACTCGGGTGGTTTTGGGAGGCTGGTACTTCCTCGGGCGAAAAAGCAGTTTTCCAGAACTCGTTCGAAAAGTCTCCTTTACGNCAATTAATACTGTAAACTTTTTGAATTTTGTCTAATTATGATTCTTTAAAATAAAACTGTTTATATTATTAGTTCAGTTCATCTTGCACATAATAACTGTAAATAAGTGGCAAAATTTACGCAAAATACAATGGTGTTTTATTGAAGACACGAGTACTACATCAGCTACAAATAAAAGCACTATTGCACGT